GAGGAAATTCAGTATATCCGAAGAAGACAATAAACCTGTACTACTATTTAAGACCTCCAACGTGCAATAGAGGCTCCAGTGCAAATATCTGCATGCTTTTCACTAACCGCGCTCGTGGGCCGGAAAGGTCCTAAGGAGAGGGCATGAAGAATATTGCATCAATAAGATCGGATTCGCTGTGAGAATTACGTCATCTGCCGGCCACCCCCCCCGCACTGGGACGGTACCGGGTTATCGCGTGAGGTCGTGTAGAAGTGTAGCGCAAGTTCCGGATGTGTCGAGGCGAGTGCCGTCAGTTATAAATTCGCCGCTGCGCGGCGCTGGCAGTAGCAGTCAGTCATTCAGTGTGTGTAAGTGCAGTCTGAAGTTGGGAAGCTGAGCAGGTTGAACGTGTGCATTGGCGGTGAACTGCAGTGCGAGGACGTTTAATACAGCGCGTAATGTGGGTCAAGGCTGTGGACCGTGGAGTGCAGTCGTGGACAGTGTATGTGCATCAGACATGTCGTAAGTAGTAGTATGTGGCGATAGTGTACGTAATAAAACTAATTAAGTCAGCGATTTAGGTAAGTAAAAGGCGTGTCTTAATATTTAAAATATTAAGAGATTAATAGTTTCGGGTTTCGTGTGTACTATATGTGTAGTCGAAGACCACGAAACTGTGGCAACTATATTCTGTAAGATAAACGTAATTCGCATTTTTGGTGGCTTTATAGCTTAAGGTACACAGGAATGCTAACCTTGTTTTTCTGGGTCGTTGTTTCAGCATAAGAAACGTTACGTTATATGATATCAAAGAAGAGTAAACTCGTAAAAATTGCTATTCTGCGTTCTATGAACTATTTAAAGTACGTATGTATAAATACAATAATATGAACAAATTCCGTAAATAAATTTTAACTACATGAGAGACAAGTAAAATAACATTTTTGTACTTTTTTTTGAAAAACACAAGAATAGAGTAATGTGGTGTTTGTCATCTATAGAGTAATTAGCACTATCCGTGCACAAGTTTAAAGAAAGAATGTGGGCCTTTTTTGAGAACATCTGTTTTTGTAATTTTTTAAAAATTATACTTTTGCTAAAAACTAAAATTTCAAACAAATAAAGCATGATATTAATAAAAGACTTATTAAGGTGACAAATTTATTGAAGGAAAAATCTTTATATGGCAAGATTTGTAGGAGACAAAAAAGCGTAGCATCATTGAAAATTTTCATAAGTTCGATTAAACCTTACAATCGGATTATGCTACCTTCATACGTGTATTTTACTTATTCTACAAGATTTTAAAGGAAAAAGTTGGCACGTTTTTGAGAAAATTTTGAATAAAAATGGTCCCGGGGGCTTCAATGTAAAGTACAATCCAATTTTAAGATTTTTTTCAAATCTCAATGAATTGACTCGGCCAGAGAATAAGGGTTTCTTCAGTTTGAAAAAATTGTACGTTGGGTTTTTCGCTAGTGGTGTTCACGTGGACAAGACGTTTAAAAATCGGTATCAGGGGGGCCTGCAAACGTGTATTTACAATTGAAATCTTCGAATAAATTTTTTCGGCAGCATTGCATACTTTCTCTTATACTAATATACTCGTATATATGAGAAAGTAAGAAGTGCTTATCATGGAGCAATGGAGGAAAGCATTTTCATTTTCCACAACTCGTTTAAGAACACCTTTCTCAGCGATTGAATCCCATTGCGCCCAGTACGATTTTACTGCTGAGGAATAGGGAGCTATTTCTTGCCAACTCGGTCTCCGTCCCGTCATTTTCCATTTCCAAACATGTTTCAATTCTGAGTCTTTTATCTGATCTTTCTGAAGTTCTTTAGGTTGCCATCGGTCGTTAATCACAGATACCCTTAAGGTAGGAAACATCTCTCCTAATAGATTTAGAAAATTTCTCTTCCATTTTTTCAACTTTCTCTTCGTTATTCGAAATTTTCTCCTCTATTTTTTCTTCGTTCCGCAAAATTATCCCCTCGATTTCTTTTCTAATTAATGTATTATTCTGTTGTATCTTTTATTCCATGTTTTCTAACAATTTTTCTTCCGAAACTGGAATTTACTGTCCGTTTTTCTTCTGTTTTGTAATTTTCACTCAGAGTTTTGTTAATTTTTCTTCTAACTTTCTGAAATGTTCTGTTAATTTTTCTTCTAATACTTGGGATAGATTCGAAGTTTCCAGTCATCTCGAAGAGAAAACTTTCTGGATCCTCTCCTGTTGCCTTCATCGCGTTAGCAAGACGTTCTTGTGAAATTGCTTTCGTTACGGTGGTGACTTGTTCCCTCTCTTCTAACTCCTCCTTCAACTCGGCTACTTTCAGATCACGGAAGGTTTTTGTGAAACTGATCTTCATTAAGATTTTAATTCACCACACGTTATACTGATTTATCCCCACACCTGACACCAATTGTAACGTTTCTTAGTGGTGAATTAAAACACACAGGTAATATTTTAACAAACGCGTTTATTTTGTTCGTTAAGGATACCCTAAAAATGCTTGATTTATTTACAGAGAGGTTGCACAGTTCTCGTGTTCTTCACTTGGTTATTTCCTTACACACGACTCACTTCTCTTGATTATGTATTTACACTGTTCACTTCCACACTATCGCACTGTCTGATGCACCTACCATAGTTCACGGCGCCGACCCCGTTCCTCTGCACTGCTGTTCACCGCAATGCACACTTCGCTGCTCAGCTTCCGACATCATACTCACACTGACGGACTGACTGCTTACTGCCAGCGGCGAATTTATACCTTCCCTGCTGGCGCCCATATCGACCCATCCGGAACTTGCGCCACACTTCTAAACGACTCGCGAAAAAAACCGGAACCGTCCAGTTTGGGCGCCGGCAGATGGGGGCAGTTTGGGGGGGGGGCGCCGGCAGATGACGCAATCCACTTCGCGAATTCCGGCAGGTGATGCAATATTCGTTACAATAATATATGTTCTATTATTACAAAACTGAAAATTAAAAAAATGTACCTTGGGGGCAGCAGGCAAGAGCATGTGGCAAGTTCGAATACCTCGCCGAAACCAAAGGAAACAAAAAAACTAATGCGGGAAAGTCCGTGCCATACGGTAGCACTTCTTCTTAAATGAAACGTTTAAAAAATGGTAAATTAAAAGAAGTAGATAATAAAATAATTAAATTTTATGCAAACTATGAATCTTTCAAATTTATCCAGTAACATCCCAAAAAGTGCGATTTTTGGCAGGATTCCCCAAACGTGCAGAATAAATCAAGTACTAGAATAAAACCCGTTTAACGATTCAAATTTCACACAAGATTTAAAGTTGGCAAAGATAAGATGCAATAACACGAGAATCCGGTCTGTAATAATCACCGATAAGAATTTTGAAGCCTCCCAACTTACAATATTGTATAACCGCTCTGACGAACGAATCATCAAAATACTCGCTATCTAACCACCCAGTGTTCCATTAAATGGTGTCTCCTTTGGAAAACCCTCAATCTAGGAGTTTTACAAATCTTTTGATTTGTATGATATATTCGTTGCTAACGTGTCCCATTACTTGCTTTAGCAAACATGATGGATGTAACAGATTTCGATTCGTTCAGTACCCTTTCAGAATATTTGCAGCCCTATTTCGTGGATTGTCAGCTAAATGTCTCATCAATATGGTGGGAGCTCATTTCTTCGATTTCCATTTGCATGTTGTTGAAGTGTTCACAAAGTACATTCTCAAAAATTACTGCTCTCGCCCTTAAAATTTTGACACATCCTTAAACTCAGTGTCTTTATTGCACTTCAAAAAGCTCATGGTAAACTCATAACCTGGTGTATTATTTCTAAAGCATTTAATACATTTGCCTCTTCTGTCCGCATATCCCTTAATAAACAACCTCGGCGTGGTTCTATCAAACGGGTAGCCCCACTCTCAACACACCTATCTAGGAAACTATAATTTCTTTGTAGTGGCGCTGTGGAAGGGAATCTGATGGAATTTCAAAGCTTCCCAAATACCGCTACCATTCTTGATAGCCCCTAGTACTCGTTCTAATTCTTGTGAGGTCCTCGTTATGTAACGTTTAGCTTAGGGATCTGGTTGATAGTTCCAGCGCTTGAAGATAATTCGATCGCAACACAATACAATAGTTGTCAACACCATAAGTAGAATTTGACTTCAGTTCATTTTAGAGCACACTTCAATCACCAAATGAAATATGTTCAAAAGCTATTGACGAAACAACAAAAACTCTTAAACCGTACCGCACTCCATTGTCGTGCAAGTTAGCTGCACGAACCCGGAGAAAAACCTTTCACTCCTGATGCAGATTTCGTTTTCGAAATCGCGAAATATGCTGCTCTGATTTTATACGCACTCGTTTTCATGAGTATCTACTCTTTAGTTGAATTCAGAATAAACGATAGCCATGTTTTGTTGACAAACTGATAAAACGAACGAGCTATAGATTTCTCGTAATAGCCCTGTCAATAAAATAATCAGCCCCACACTCTCCTAGCATCTTGCGAAAAGAGGGATCAAGAAAAATTGAGAGATAATAATAATGCGATATCAACGTGCTTCGGAGCATTGTTGCCACATTGACACTCACAATTTTCAGCAGAATCTCAACTCAGAACTGACATTTGAATAAACGTGAATTTGAAATGTTCCGACGGTCATCAATTAAGCGCTATTATAATTTTCCTCATATGTATCTATTCACCTCAATTCAAATTATTAATTCATAAACTTTTTATTCACGAGAAAAAATAATTTTGCACAAATATCTTCAAAAGAGTTGATCATCATACTGTCCTCTAGAACTTAATTGATGTTACACAAAAAACAACCTTGTCGGCAACGGCGGATTTGTGAACAGGCAAACCTAGGGCGGCAAACTTTTTTTTTATAGAAAATTATCTTTCTTAAATGTTAAATTCACCACAGAATTTGCTCCAGTTTCTTCTAACTTTTACACATTGTTTCCACATGTCATGTTGCATTTTGCATGGCTATGTGTACACCTATTTCAAATTGTTGGCTGAAAGATTGGTTGAAGTTTTAAAGTGTATCAAAAACTACTTAAGATCAACAATGGGCAAAAGTAGATTAAATTCACTTTCCATTTTAGCCATAGATAAAGATATTTTACTTAAAATAGATTGTGATATCAACAAATTTGCAAACCAAAAAGTTCCACGAAAGCAATTATATAATAAATGGTTAAAACGAACTTTAAAATAAACAATAGAATTTGTAATTAAATTGTTGTCTTGTAACACTAAAATGAAAAATTCAATAAATTGACCAGGGGTTTCCAAAAAATATTTGCCTAGTGTGGCAAATTACATAAATCTGCCACTGCTTGTTGGGATCTGATCTTTGAGAAGAAAGTTGAACAGTCTTATAGAAATAGGTTGTAACAAGACATTGGCTCTGTGGGAGCTTTTCCAACAAAATATGATGCATAGGGATCAGAGACAGACTTTCTGGGATATGAACTGCTTGGATTTGTTGGCAGCCTCAAAGAAGAGCACACCAACCAATGGAACTCACGGCTCTACATAATTATTAATACAGTTCATGGTTTTACCATAAAGTTGTATTTACTTTATATTCATGTGCCTTCTTAAAAAAATTAGCTTTGCCAAGTGAAATTAGATATTAAATATTCACAATTCATAAAAATAACTGTAGCAATTTCCTGCAAGTATATTTAAAAAAATATTAACATAGCATGAGGATACTGAAAATTAAAGAATTCATTAGTCACACAAGACTTCACTGAAGACACCCTCATGGAATTAATATCCTAACCTATTTGGACAGTAGAGTCAGATTTCCAAACCCTATCAGCAAGGTAAACCGAACTGCTGAATACAATACTTTGCACATAAAATAATATTACACCTGCTCTCTCTATCCGACTCAAAACGGCCATTAGCCAATGTGCCTCGCAGAAATGTGTCAAATAATAATCATAATATTCCTACAATCTCATTGCCCTACACAATGCTTATACCAGAAAATTGGTTTTGGTGTATAACCAATCATGTTAAAATACCACAAGGGCAAATTTTATTGTACTTCAACTTTTAACCTGCATATCTTAATAATAAATCAACAGCAGAAATACAGTAAGATTAGACATAGAATGCTGGATTACGGTCTGCATTCTGTGAAACAAACCAGGTCAGAGAGGGTAACATCCACCGGCTTAGAAACCCATGAAAAGGAAAAAACTGGTCATATATATGATAAGTATACTTGACCAACAAGGATCATAAAATCTATACAGAACACCATAATTCCAGGATTTGTTTTATTAAAAATTATTACATTGATTTTTTTTCCATTTTCAGAGGTTTCCGATTTGGTTGTGTTCCGATTTAACATACAACTGCAAAAGTTTCTATTGCTGAACTTAAATGCTCCTGATTGAAAAAAGGGAACAGATTTTTAATATTCATTGAGAATCTTAATTTTCTATTCCAGTGAAAGATTTTCATTACACGATGGATAAAACACAGCTCTATACTGAATGCAATCACTATTTTATTCTAATTCTTACCAAATCATCTCATTGCCTGACAATATAAAAATGAGAAAAGTATTGTAATGAAAGAGCATCTGGATAAATAGTAATACTCAAGACTTGATATGAATGGGAACATTCTTCAGCTAAATTAAGCTGAGAAGCTCAATTCTAGGGCACAGATTCACAAGATGTTCTTTCACTAATATTGCCTGTAATTACCTTTTCTCAGAACATCATCTGACATTGAGCATCTCATCTTAAAATTAGAAATGCTGGAATTCTTTCAATGGATACGTGCTAGTTTTGAGAATTGTCTTCCACATTTTCTAAAAAACAAGGTTAAAATAATACATTTTTATCCATTATAATGCAAAAATATCTCAAAAATATCAAATAACACATTGCACAGTTGCTCCATTTTAACATAGGAAATCACTAACTAGAACCTTATTTTCAATTTGTTTTATTTTACAGGTTTTGGAAAATTCTTCCATAATATTCCTTTCCTTTGGTTTTGAGTGTCACTTGAAAAAAGCTTTCAGAAATGAACTTTTATAAGGTAACCAAATTCTTTTATGACAAAATGAAAGTCTCTAAGGCTGTCCTCATTATTGTTTTATTTATAGTAGTGCATTGGCATACTGAAAACTGCCAGATCAGAGGAAAAACAATGTTCATTGAATATTGACATAACTATTTTTATCCTACATGACAGCACCAGCAGACCAAACATATTCATGCAAAATTAAGCCCACTCAGACAAAATACTTGACAAGAGGCCACTGAGCGTATTAATTTCAGTGCACCCAATTTGCTGAACATCAATAAAATGGTTGCAAGTCATGCAAATAAAGAATTAAATCTCACAAGTTTAAGAATAGGTGAGTAAAAACTTCTCTGGGCATCTACTAACTAAAAAAATCTTTTAGGTCAGTCTTATCCATCCTTATTCACTCCTAAGTTGGTCAAGAATGCTGCTCCCACACACAATTCTAAACTGGATGTTCACACACAATGAATGGTGATTTGACCTGCCAATATAGAAGAACTACCTTAAGACAAGTGAAATGAATGCTCCATAGTAACCTGATATGTTTACAGATGTATATGAAATACTTGGAAAGCCTGTACTTGTACGTCATTGCTAGTCACTCATCAGTACATTTTACTGACTTCACTTTTTCTATTCTGGACAGTTACATGAATTAGCATTCAACCTGGAATGGTGTCATATTAAAGATTGCTGCACATTCCTGATTGGCTTCATGCAATTTGCATGAAATTACTTGAAAAGGACCTCTGTGCACCCAAGTTGAACAAAAATGACATAATGAAAAGCACAGTAACACAAACCCTATTTTAGGTTAACTTAGTATTTAAGAACTTACCCTCATACAAAACTAAATCATTATTCTCTAATTTCGTGTCATAAGAGAAAAGTAGTAATATTGTATGAAGGAATAATTTTGAAATGTTAACCAACACAAATAAAGTCATGAACTACTTTGAAATAAGTAGTACCAGCTTTAGCATTTTAATACATTTAGCACTTTTAGCACATTTAATACATTCAGCATTTGGCATTACAATTGAAGGAATAAAATGAACTGCTAATAACTTTTGCAGAAACATACAATCTTCCTTATACTAAGACTTGTAATACCTACCAAATATTAATTTCAGAATAAAATTACAAAACAATTGAATTCACAATATACATGTAATCATCAAGTTAACATGTTTTGATGAACAGAATATGATACAATCTGAATAAATACACAATTCAAGTCCTTTTGAAGATAGAAGAAAAAGTCTCTTGAATCCACTCTCTTCTCTCCCTTCAAGAATATTCATTTCAGGCAAAGTACAAGATTCTGAAATATGAGATGTTACTCATATAGAAATACTACAATCTGGTACCAGCAATGGATAAGTACCCCTACTAACAAATAAAAAACAGCTCATTTCAATTGTAAAAATATGTCGATCAACACTTTCAAAACCCTGAAGTGCATCAGTAACAGAAAGCTCTATCAAAAAGAATCCACTTAAAATCACAACACTGGACATATTAGTCCTATCACATTATTCAGCCTGCACACACTTCCTCTATCTTCCTGCAATTTCCTAGATCTTCGGATTGAGTGAACTTGCAAAGCCACATGCAGCCAATCAGGAACACTGATAAAACTTGTGAGCGATCATGAGCAAGGTAGTTAGCAAGGAGGCTCCCTGTTCAATATGTATCCATAATATCAGAAATTCATGTCAACCCACACACCACAAAACTGCCTTTCCAATGCCAAGTATTTCATATCCAAGTATAACAGAATATTACTGAAGCATCCTTCCAGACCCTAAAGACGTCAGTTTTAAATGAAATAACTGTGGTAAAAAGGTCATTAACAAATTGACGACTTGCCTTTCTCCTATTACTACACACCTTTCCTATTAAAAAAAAGTGCTATAACAAGAATTGTTTGTACTGAAACATATTGAAAAGGGAATTCCTCATGAGCTAACATAGCTCAACCTTCTCTTCACCTCATAGGTGAATCTGGCTCATACCAAGAAGCCGTTTAGTTTCAATGGCCAAAGGGCAAATTTAGTCAGCATATACAATAAACTGCTGATTATCGGTATCAGCAACTTCAACTTGAACAAACTGCGGTGGCTGTAGCGGTTGTGCATGAATTGTAGGCACTGAGCGGCTCATTGCATTCCGAGATCTGAAATGAATTTCAAATAAGATTCATACAGGAAATTCGTACAGGAAATTACCAAACTCAAATCGTGAAAAACTTACTTCGCCTTAGCATGCGTAAGGATGTGCGATTTAAGATTGGTTGACTGGGCAAATTTCTTATTGCAGCCATCAAAAGGACAAACATATGGACGATCACCAGTATGGATACGCACGTGTGTTCGTAAATTGAAGTCTAATGAAAATCTCTTTCCGCAGCCTTCAAATGTGCACTAGAAATGAACAATTTTCATTAAAAAACGTATTCTGAAGACAGCAAAAATTACACAATTTGTAATTAAAATAAATCTAATAAATAAAACATCTTGAGAACAGAGGTCTATTTTTGTACCAAATGGAAAACAAAAATTGCACAGACTTCAACAATTATTATAAACACATTCTCGATTCTCAGGAATACAACACAGTTCAATGCGGTAAGTTCAGATTCCTATAGTTTAACATGCATGCACTATAGGCCATGGAAAGCCTGGATAAGATGAGCTTTATCAAGAAAAAGGTTACAAATATGCATATAAGCAAGTGATCACAGCAAAAAATAACAGTAGGTATTTAATATGTAGATTAGATTTTTTGTCCAGTCTTATTTTAAACAGTCATATGTGAAGATAGAATATGTAGATTCATTTTTGGTTGCAATAATTTTCCATCTCTTAAATATGCAACAACAACAAAAATTTGTTTACTTAAAATAAATACACCTCAACAGGCAACTTTCACTCTGAATTAGGTCCATGCATCTATTATCTTCACTACTATGTAGCACAACATACACAAAAATTAAAATTGTATTTCAATTCTTCAAACAAGTCTCCGCTAATCTGACCGCAAAAATCTTCATAACATCCTTGCTGAAATTTATTTCATGGCTTACTATTTTCATATTACTAGGTATACATCGTATGAACATATACATTATTATCATATTAGAAGGTAAATGTCTTTCGGATGAAATAAATTCATTATCCTTGATTCATATTGTCTCATAGTTATAAACATCATAAACACTTTATAGTAATGATGATAGAGGTTTGCTTTCACAAGGAAAATATATTAAGTTCCAGCTATCGACAACATCACTAGATTAAAGAACAAAACAAAAAAAGGTGAAGCAAAATATAAATGCATGATACAGGATACAGATGAGCCTAAACAATAAAGATGGATTTTATAAATTAACTCCAGATTTTCATTCATCCTGGAAAAGATTTAATAAAATAAAAATGCAAAGTATAACACAAAAAATATGCGTTTCAATTTATTGTGAATTTTTTTTGGGGGGCAAGTGGTTTGTTAATTGTCATTTTAATGCCTATTGACATATAAGAGTTAATTTTATCAAGTGGATATTAGTATACAATACACCTACAAATAGGCAGAATCCAGTGCAATAACCTTTTTATAAAAATAACTTCCTATATTATGACTGTCTTGTATATTGTTTGTTCTTTATTTTATGTCCCTCGATGTTAATAGACAATTTGACAATAATACATCACGGACATGTAAAAAAGTCCATTTAAACTCATATTCAAAAGTTAAAAAAAGTTTACTTATTATGTTTTACTTTAACACAGATTTTCAGGAAAACTTTTTTGACTATCATTATTATTTTATTGTAAATACGTGTTACAAAATATTTTAATTGTAACAGATTTTAACTTAATATATCATCCAATTTTACTGAGACCTAAAGATAGGAAACACTGCGTGTTAAAACATTCTTGAAACATTGCGTGTTAAAGTGAAGCAATAAAAATGAACTTTTGAATAAAAGTTTAAAAATTATTTGTACAGGCCATGTGATGCAATATTGTATGACAGACTGTCTATATACAGAATCTTGTACATCAAGAAATGGGAACTTAAATAAAAACTATAACTAGGAGTTCAAAGAATAAAGAACTCTTCCTTTTTCATGTTCATTCATCTAGCAGAAGCACTGATGTGCCCTCTCACCTGGAACGGCTTCTCTCCTGTGTGCACCAGCTGATGCCTCTTCAACTTGGAACTCTCCACAAACGCCTTGCCACACTCAGCACAAACATGAACTCGTGGCCCATGCGTATGCAAATGTTTTCTCATGGCTGAATTATCTCGAAACATCTTTGTACATCCTTTATGTGGGCAAGCAATAGTGCGATCCACACCGTCACTGGATTGTTTTTTCACTTTCATTTTGTGTCCGGGTCTGACAAAGCATGTATTAATTAATGACTTGGCAAAATAACAATTTACCAAGAATATTAAATAAAGCTTACCTTGCAAACTCCGCCAACTGCTTAGGATCACTCAAATCAAGGCCAGGAATTCCTTCAGGAGGTATTCTCTTCCCAGTCATGTACTCCTCATAATCAGGATCAGGTTCTGGGTTACTTGCTTCATCTAAAATAAGATACTATCATGTAATAACATGCAAGGGAGGGCAGAAACGAGGTTCATTACATCAAAAATAACAATATACAAGTTTCATAACTTTAAAATTGGTAAGCCAAAGGATAAAAGTTTCAATACATAGTTCAAATTATTTTTATATTTCTTCATTTAGATAAACTTGAATCAATTTACCACCTTTGATTGTAAGGATGTATGATACATATTCTTTATGTTACTGCAATGTCCTATGGACATATGTCATATGCTCTTCTACACTTATCTTCATTGTCAGGCTATAAATGTCTCTTGGTCGTAGGCATCTTGATTATACTCCTAAAGGTCACTAAGAAGGTTGCAGGGCAACTGTCAACGTGTGCTTCTATTCATTGCAAGCATTTGCAATTTCCCCCTGGAATTAGATAATCGAATCTGCAGGCACTGTCAATTATGTTCTGAATGTCTTTCTTTGTAAAGTGTTCAACCTGTTAGCGACAAATACAGATGTTTAGAAGCCATTTACAGACTCTGGGCTACTTGCTTCATCTAAAATAAGATACTATCTAGTAATAATATGTGAGGGAGGACAGAAATAAGATTCATTACAAGAAAAATAATTATAAAAATACATAATTTGTGGCAGCACTCAAAGTTAGAAACTTGAGAGTTCTTGAATACTGGATCGGATCTGAATTCTTTTGAGGAGGAGGAGGATTTTCTTCCTCGTCAGTTAACTAGTTTGAGAAATAAAAATAATAGTGAAGAGAGTGATAACGGTGCGAACGATTATGTTGGAGATTCTACTCAAATGCAAGGGTTTTTGGTTCCTTTAGAATGGTGCTAAATTGATGAATAATCTGAATACCAGTGTTTAGGAAAAGCAGAGAAATAAAATATTCTAAAATAAATTAAACTCAACTGAACTAGACTATGTTTCATTATGTTTTAACCACAGCATATTTCTAGAAATAAAGCCAGAAACAAATTGTCATGCAAATGGAACTCTTTCTGAACTTCAAAATATCATTACAGTGCACCAGTATTGTCGAAGTACACTGTCCCCCCCCCCTCCTCTCATAATTTGTGACAAGGTTTCTTTCTGCAAAAATAAAAAACTGAAAATATGCTTTTGTATTCCATTCTCACTCTTTATCTTATAATCAAATAACATTAAAATACATATAAACTTAAAAAAGGTAAGATAATATTGCAAGAAGTTATTAGTTTCAAACGGATGTCTACGACAGTTATTTTCATTTAAGGTTTGAATAATATGTAGCTATATTGCCCATTACAGGATTTAACCACATATTGTAACCCTCAGGATTGAATATGTCAAGAGTTTAAACTTCAAAATCCAAGGTCTTCTAACAAGTACTACAGCAAATTTGTCAAAAAACATACACACATTAATTAAAATTCAATGAAAGGGTTCAAATTGGTAACAAGTCCTAATGCATCAAGTCAAATTTATCAAAAGTAACATTCATTTCAATTAAAATCTATTGAAGGAATTCATGTAGGTGACTTGGATCCTGAAGGGGTACACTAATGTTCACTATTCAAAGAAAAGAGAATCTTTCTGAGAAACAGCTTTTGTAGCAGAGCTGAGTTACTAAGTCCCTGCCTAAACCACCTCAAGGTGGCCCTGCATCATGAAAGCCTGCAGTGTTGCCAAGAAGGTGGCTCTGAACTAAGGGAAGGAAAACTCCAATAGAAAAACAAGGGGGAGGGAAACCAACCTAAGGGATGATAACCATGATAAAAAAAATTATCTGCTCCAGGATTACGCACAGGAATTGGATGCAGGGCAACATCCCGGCTCCATAGAAATTTCTTTCACGTTTAAAGCACTTTAAATATACCTCAGACCAGCTTAAAAGTAAATTTTCCTGCAACATCTAAGTAAAAGGACCAGGGGAGGAGATTTTGGACAGTTACCTCCACATTTGCAGTAGTGTTCCCAGAAATTAGAGATATAGAAGTGGAGGGTTTCTTTTTCTGTTTGTGTATGAAACTGGACATAATTCATTACACAATTAGAACTGGATTCTTAAAATGGCAACATTATTGATCCCCACAAGAATTTAAAGGTATATGCTGTAAATAGCAAATCAATTGTAAAAATGAAGTTTTTCAAAGATCAATTAAATTGCAGAGTATCCACTTTTAAAATCAAATAATATTAATTGGTGATTTTAAAAAAAGTAAGTAGCACAGAATGAGGTAGCAAGTCAGTTCAGAGAGAAAATAGTTATGACAATGGGAAAACATTAATACACCTGTGTAAAGAGCAAGAGTTGTATGTAGGGAATATAATTTTCAAAAATGAAACATCCACAAATATACTAGAATGGATCCAGTAAGAAATACCCCATCAGTAATTGATTTAGTTCTGGTAAAGAACAATAGAATAAAATTATATGATGTGAGCCCATTTCTCTGATCTGAATGCAGAACTGACCATATAATAGTGAGCAAACATGTTTTCCCAATTACAAAATCCAGAGATCCATTGAAAACGATGAGAGAAATTTTAAAACAATACAGCACAGAAATGATTAATTAAAATAGAAAACTGTGAACATAACAGTCTTGAAGAAATGTACTATCATTAAAATGATGTTGCATTCAAATGCGTTAAAGAAGAGTCAGAAAGTGGAACAAGGTTAAAGCGAATTTGAGGAGAAATTCAGTAATAATTTGGAGAGCATGATTCAGAAAAAAAAAAGAATTGTTCTTCATGTGGATTTTGAATATGAAAGCTCAACCAAGAAAAGAATTATGTAGAAAAGAGGAAAGCAAACTCCTTTATGCGAGACCTACGAATTCATACTCACTTCATAATAGCCATAAGCCCACTATCAAATTTCAAATGTTTTGTGTTCTGCGACCACTAACTAACCAATTAGTGATGTGGTGTGAATAAATGTGCAGTTTGCTTATGTGCGTCCTAGTCAGAGTCACTTCACAGGCAGCAGCAATTCTGCAACTGAGCTAAACTCAGCAGGTCTTCGGGGTAGAATCAATAATATTAATAATAATACCAACAATAATGATAATAATAATGATAAATTTAATTAACGTTACACATCTAAAAGATGATAAAACTTCAAAATCATATTTTTTTAACACTTTCATTCTTGACTCCTAACATCTGTTGGCCACACACACTCAAACATTTCAATATATGGCTCTTAGATGTCCCCCAGTTACAGTCATTTTTATGTAACTCGTTTCAATCTATTAAAGCAAATGGATTATAATAGTGGTATACCAAAACTTTTTGAAGAAACATCAACGAGGGAAATATGTGAAAATCTGGAATAACAGTTCCACATACTCCAAGGTTCTCGTGAAACATTTTTTCTGCTCATTTTTCCCTTTTAGACCAATCACAAAATGACAAAAAATTTAAATGGTACTACCTCATAACACACAATATACTAGACATACACATTCACAAAGAAGAAAATATCTCAGATATTTAGCAACTTTAATTATATTTATATTTAAGTTTGGTTTATCTGCAAGCACAAATTAAGCTTTTCAAACATGGCACAATTTAATGTTTCTCGATTTAAAGTCCCTTTACTGTTTTCTAATAGACTGCAACATTCATGATGTGGATAAGCTGACAAAAGACTTCAGTAAACCAGATAATCATGTGATTGCAATATCTACATAATTAATTAAAGAATCATTTGTAAAATTGCATTTATAGTATAATATTACCAGAAAATAATCAAGACACTTTCTAAAAGATAATGCTTTCAATCTTGATTCAATACATAACTGAAAAAAAAGGGATTCCATAATTTTAATCACTTTTCCAGCCAATGATTGTAAGTTGAGAAAAATTTGGTAATTTATGTTGCCAATATTTTGATTTCAAAATACATTTATAATCCTGCATCACAACATGCTTAATACAAGATATCACTTAATGAAAAGTAAGAGCAAATATTTTTGAATCTTAAATTTTTAATAAAAGAGAAAAAACGGGATCCGGAAAGAATAATTTTAATTTGTTTATTAAGATCTAATATTGTTAAAACAATTATTACTGATGCATTTCAAAATAGAAATTACAAAGGAAAAAATTAAAATGAGTTATAATGACAAGATACTCTTGCTCTCCAGTAACCTTTCCTTAATTAGAGATCTCAAATTAATAAAAATGAATCCTTACCACTCCTGTTGACGAAGAAAGAGGTTCTTTGATAACTACCATATACATATCGACAAAACTACCTCATATTTGTGGAAAACCTTTCTTTTGAGTTTCTAACAGCTAGTCCACCAAGTTTGATACTTCCTCAAAAATTAATATTGGTTCCTTTTAAAAATCTTATCCTCCCTTCAAATTAACCAGATATAAACTTTGAAAATTTAAATCATATTGGTTGATAATAGAATATAAAAAGGAAATACTTTGAATTTTTCAAATTAGAATTAAACAGTCCACTATTTTTAGTTCTTTCACATTCGCTTCATGGTTTGTTGCTGATCACAAGCCATCCATAGAATCCTCTTTGGAAAAAATATCTTTGCAACTTAATTTCAATCAAATTTTAATAGTCTGCCATCAAATTTTCTTTTTGCCTATTGTTATCTCACACAATTTAAATCAGCATAAGCTCAAATTTTCAGCACAAAAGAGGCTGATGAGAGACCCGCAAAACAATTACATTTTCTATACAACATGAAACGAATTTAATCTAATTTAAAATAAAAGGTCAATTGTAATCAAAAGTCCACAATTTTGTAGTAAATAATAAGATATTAATTTTCTTGGAGGATGTCACAAGGAGGGGCGCAAGAAATGGAACTTGAAACATTGTTTCATACATGAATGTTTATATGAAATAAAATTGTTATTGCACATGGCAATGCACCTATTCCTTAATTAAAACATTAAGACACTTTGTCAGCTGTGACACTATCATCTAATCCAAGCTTGAAAGTCAATATTTTTATTAATTGGATTGTTGGTGAAGTAGATACCTTTTTATTATGATAAATAAATAAAGATATTGTCAGATATCAATATTTTAATTCAACTTATGATCATTTCGATCGTGTAGCGATCATCTTCAGAGCTTGCAGCTTCTGGGCCGAAAACGAAGTTCAGAACTTTGAAGAATTAAAATATTGATACCTGACTATATCTTTATTTATTTATCAATATTTTTATCAAAGTATAAACAACAAGGATGTTGGTAGTTCATAGCAAACTAACAACGTATAAAATGCTCTGATTATCTTCAATATTATTTGGGGTTCAGTTCACATGCTATATTTTTTTATTGCAGTTTATTCCAAAATCAATATTAGTGGCTCATTTGAAATGGTATGCATCAATTCAACACTTTTGAAATCTAACTTGCAATGACACAAGGAGAGATTTTCTTATTAGGCTCAAAATATACAAGGAAACTATTGTGGGACACAATTTAAAAAAATAATATTCAAATGTGAGGTATAACTTTCTATTATAAATCCATTTATAACTGAATGTATCATAGCACTATATATTTCAATGAAGAAAGCTAGAAAAAAATTGAAGATGAAAATTTATGTTTAGTATTCCAAAATCTCACATTACTTAAATCAGGCGGAAAATTAATTTAATTTTATATTAGACTGTCAATTAAGTGTAAAATACATTCAATTTTGTTTACAAAAAAAAAAAGACCTAACCCTTTCATCACTCTTATTATTATTGCAAAAAATCCTTCACTGTTCAAAGAATTATTATAATTATTTCTTTTTCTCTTTCTTGGGATGTTACATTACAATTTTTTTTAAACAAATAAGATTGAAAAATAATTTAATTGCAGAAATGCTAATTTTTAAAACCAAATGCGTGCATATTTTCTGTAGCGACGATGTTTGAAATTAAGAGTATTTCAAAATACTCAAGCTATAAAAGAACAATTCAAGAAGAAACCAACATACTCATATCTATGCCAGTAACCCGACAGCCAACTGTATGAAACACCTCAAATTTGAAGGTGAAAACTCCAGTATCACAAAGTAAAAATTAATAATACATTGTTACATTCTCATAGTTTGAGATTTAAGTAATCAATTTCTTTACTTCTGTATTTTTTTTTTAGTTTTGAAATTGGATCGTCAGTATGGAGAAATACATAATTATCAGTAGTCATTTAAAAGAAAACTATCCCAACACTTCCTTCAAACAGGACCTGAATTATTAGATGTGTGTAAATAACAATAGTTCGTACAGAACTGAACTATCAACAAAGAAACTCTTGGATAGGTTTATAATAGGGTTCTAAAGTTTAGTCATCTGTAAATGACACTGGGAATTTCTGAATTAAAATTATAGAAAATCCAATGTTCAAATGAAGCATTTCTTGAAATACACAACTAAGGCAATACCTCAAGTACAGTAATCAATGCAAGTTTTTTTGAAGGAACAATTTGCTGCAAACTAAAGCAATCTGCAGTCTTAGAAATTTAAAATGCTACAATGATATATTATTCAGTCAAGTATTTATAAAATAATGTAGGTAAAGGTAATTGTGGAATTTTCAAATAAGTGTAAAATGTGCCTGCTACTTGAAGGTAAGAAAAACTTTATTGGAAAGCTGTAAATATTACTATTACACCAAGACAGATTTTCTTCGAGTTTCAAATGTCCATAAAAATAGGATAGTAAAATGACATCTGAGATATCTTGTTAAAACATCGCGAAAAAGAAAAAAAGCCCAAGAATTTCCATTCCATAAAAACTATAGTTCTAGGAATAATCACATGCAGCTAGCGCTGTCATCGATCTTTTTTCGACAACGAAAACTATTTTCATTATTTTAATCATTCAAATGTTTAAAATCGAATAAACCCTTCACAGTGCTATAAACATGTAACTAAATGTGGTTGAATTCCATGGTGCCTTGATTAATAGTGAAGTAAACAATTTCGATTTTTCCAATATAAAGCACCTCCATTACAAAAATGGCTACCATCCGCCATAGCGTTGAAGAAGCCATTTGTAAAATATGGCTGCGCCCTTGGCTCATTCATGGCCGGCAAAGTATCAAAACAAACACAAAAGCGAATTTCAATTCCACTGACTGCCACTTAAAATAAATAGCATGAACACACACCACACTTACCCAACTACGCAGTATCGATTACCCCTCTTGCCAGTTCGTGATTACACACCCTACGTAAACTACTGAACTGAAAACTTGTCAATATCTCACAAATTTAATACACTTCATACTGTACAAATGACGTACATACCATCATCTGTGCCTGAGGCCCACATCGTCACGGAAAATTCTCCTTCCAGTGTTTTAATTTGAACTTGCTTTTGTTCCCACTTGCGTGATTTTGTTTCAGTAACTTCACCACCAATGATATGTTCATTTCCTCGAACTTTCCCACCTCTCTTGGCTTTCCGACCTCCTCTCCTCGATGGTCCTGGACTTGATTCCACATAGATATCGCCTTCAGATGGTACTGGAATCTGGTCATAAACAGATAAAGGATCTCCACTTCCTACAATTTCTTCTTGTGTTTGTAGTATAACTTCTTCGCGTCCTGGCTCAGGCAGAGGCTGAAGGGCGATCATGGGCTGTCCTTCCACACCTTCGATCGTTGTCTCCACTGTTTCACATGGAATCTCTACTGGAATTGCCTCGATTTCAACTTCCTGGATTTCAGGATGTATTTCCACTTCTGTTATTATATCAGACGACGCCATGTTCATTTCCAAAATGGCTGAAACTATCTGGTTCTGCGACAGCAGCTCTCGTAGTCACGTGACATGAAGCAGTGCTGCTCCGGGTGCTGCTTCACTGACGTTTCATTGCTGTAGGGCATGGCCCGTGGGAAGTGCGGGCGCGGCGGGTGTTTGATTGTAGTTTGAATGGTGGTTATTCATGTTCCAGTTGCAAGAGTCGTTTAATTTTTGTTTAATTTCCAATCTATGAATAAAAACCTAATTCTAAAAGTATTTTCATTTTGACACTCGTTAGGGGGAACTGTTTTCTGTTAGTGTAGTATTCTTGTCAGAATTTTATTAGGAGTGAGGTTAGACGAATGTGTGTTTTAGTCATTTCGCCTTTTAACAGATCATTTTGCCCTTTACTAATAAATATTATCAGCAGAAAATATTTCAAATGGATGAACGAGAAGCTCTGATGGAGGCGTTTCCTCACCTAATTGTATGCTGTAATTTTACTCATTACAAAGGGTTTATTAGTGTTGGGGTAAGAGCATGAAAAGTTTTAAAATTGTAATTTACAAATACGCTTGCATGTGTGTGTTTGAGCAATGATAAAAATACTTTCTTTCTGCAGGGTACTGATTTCCTGACATCTATTTATGTCCCAAATTATCCGTGTTTGGCAAAGATGACCCTTAAGTGTTCTTGGCCTGTTAGCCAATTACTTTCAGGTCATGATACAATGTTGAAAGAGGTATGAGTTTGCATCATTGATGAAATTAGATTTTATGGATACCTTGAAAATCATAGTTGTCTTTTACAGTGGATCCAAAGTGATACGTTAACTTCATTTCTAAAAAAATTGAAAAACCTATTGGTGAGTATCATTCTCAGTAGTTATGAAGTTCAATAAAAAATAAAAAAACAATATCAAAGAAGCAGATTTAATTGGATTAAAATCTTGTTACTGCTTAAAAAGGTATAATTATTTCAAGATACTTGAAATTTTATTATCCCAACACCTTCCACACTTTGGAAGTTACTTTTGCTCACTGAATCATTCTCGATGATATTTTTGAGTACTGTCTGGCAACTTTATATTCTGTTCTTGTTACACATTTTTCAGCTTACTGCATTTTTTTGTTTGTTGATGATTCACTATAAACCTACATCTTGTATATTACTTTCCTTAAATATGAAAAATTCGTGGATTAGGTATTTTTTAAATTTTGGTTTCAGCAAACAGAAGTTTAAATGTATTCTTTTGTATGCAGGGGATACATTTCCGAAAGTGGACATTTGAAATCATCATTATTATGAATTATTAAGGTTTTGATGTAAAGGTCTGTTCCTTTGAGCCAGTAATCCCTTATTTACTGCTGATGAGTTCCGTGGCTTGCGTGGTTCAGTTTTTTCCCCTTGGTCTGTATTTCAGGATCTGTTTAAGATATCTGTCTGATTTCATTCTTCTATCATCTTACCATTTTCTTTGGTATCTTTTTTGCATTACTGCATTTTTAATTTTCCAACTTTTTTCTTTGGTCTTTATTTCTTATTCTTTTTTTCTTAACACTGCTATTAAAGATCTTATCTGGACTGCTTTTCATGTTCTTCTGTCTTTTTGTTTCAAGATTCACATTTTGCTTCCATATATTAGGGTTGGTTTCGTTGGCAATGTAATAGTGTAATGTTTTGAGTGTTACTTTTTATTGTAGCTTGCCAATTAAATATCAATGACTTCTTCCCACAAAAGTATTGTATGTCCTAGGTAAGTATTGGTTGTCACTTGTTCTTATTTTGTATGACTTTACCTTCAACAGCATCCTTTTGCTTTGAAAATCATTGTTTTTGTTTTCACTATTGAAACATTGAACTTGTATTCTTGCTTTGACATTTTTATCAAAATTGAGGTGTTGGTGTCTTCAACTTTTGGGATTTGAATTGCACATAAACCTTCCAAATGTTCCGAATTTTGTTATTTTCTAAAAAAATAATTATGTAAAATTTGAGGAAATTTCCAAAACGTAACATATTTTCTGGTGAGTTCATTTCAAAATTCAACATGTTTATTTCTTTCTAGTGGGCAATATATCAACTCTAAATTCCTAAATAGCTTCCTGTCTGTTTACAACACTACTTGGAGGTTTGGAGTATTTCACAAGTGTTAAAATTTGAAACTTTTCGTGCATTGAGAGCAGCAACAGGAGTGTAAGAAAGCTTGAAAATAAGTGCCTGGTTTATCATGGGAAAACTAGTGCTCTATCAGTATTCAAGCCATTGCATTTGCATTAGCAAGCAGTTGCATTTTCTGCAAAAGTATAATATTATCATAATTCTTGATTATATTGATTCTAATAAGAGGGCACAAAATTATAAAAGTGACGTGGGTGCATTTAAAGATTTTAAAAAAAGATGCAAATATTATTCGTTTTCGAGAAAAACTAGAGCCAAAAATAGTTGTTAGTAAAAGAGACTACTAAAAAGAAAAATTCAATTATTGAATAAGCATTTAGACAATTATAGCATGAGATTGAAAATTTAAACTAGTATAAGTTCTATAGTAATAAAGTTTATAACAATATGAGATGATTTACTGGCTTTAATTAATTCTATTACTTTATACAGTGGTTTATACCCTCATATTTTCATACTCGTTACCTTCCAACCAGATAGCTAATCTTTCTCTTAATTTTTGAACAGATTGATTGCTTTGTTTCTTCATTACACATAGTCTAAATACATGAAATGTTCTTTATTTTTTGTTGTCTTGTACGTTTCCTTTATGAATTGAATATAGGGTGTAGAGTGCTCACAGTGTGCTAGAGGAAGTAATTTAGTTAATATGGATAAGATTTATCCACTTTGTCCTTACCAGGGCCTGGCAATAAGAGTTGTTTCTGTCAAAAATACACCATTTTCTCCCTGCAGCAATACAGTACTTTATCTATTTTGCATAAGTAATAAGGAGAAAGTAAAAATGTCAAGTCATAAAGCGCTACATCTCCGTCTGTGATTACTAGTGCCTATAACAATGTAGAAATGCTGTTCTTTGGATTCATGCCTTCTGATTTACAAAGTATTTTGAGATTAATTTTACAACACTATTTTATATGTAAAGTAAACTGCGTTTTAACACAAAGTGTGTTTTTGATCTATTAAAAACAATGCCCATATATCATGAATCACCATGATCTGTATTCCCCTAACATCACAATTGTAATATCAATCACTATCATTTTTACTTTCTGATATGCGTACATAGTAATAGAAGTAAAGAAGTTAGTATGTATTTCTGCTGAAAATGGATTTTGATATTTCTACAGAAATATACGTTTTGGGGGTCTCTGAAACCGAAAAATTGTTGGTTTTGTGAACATCTGTCTGTTAGTCCGTCCATGTGCAAACAAGACTAGGGCCTAAACTACAATTTTTCCAGAATGAATATTCCGTGGTCGATCTGACTCAACTCGAAGCTCTGGAATTTTGAAAAACATTCATTAAGATTTGGGAATAATTTACATGAAGCTCTTGGAACATTTTCAAAAATTTCTCAAAAAAGGATAATTTTTTTTGTAATTATAGAGTGAAACACATAAAGATGACGTAAGTACCATTTTTACTGTTAACTCTGTAATTTCGAAAATTTAAAAAGATTGAATTTTTTTTGCATCTCCCTAAAACAGTAATATTGAAATTTTTCTTCAAATTAAATTTGTTCTCCTCAATTAGTTCTTTAATTATTGTCGTGTCCATTTTTTGAAAATTTTAGTTTTTGCGCAATTTTGATTAAAGTAGAGCAATATTTTTAAAAAATTCTAAACAAATTCTCCTTATTTTTTAAAAACTTTTATGTGCAAACGGTGCTAAATGCACCGTATAAGATGACTTAAACACTATTTTGCTGGATTTTCTCCAAAAATGTACAATTTTAATTTTTTACTTTTATTTCATGGCGTTAATATTTACGTTACCTGCTATTTGTTTACGATATTATATTTCTGAGTACACCTACTTCGAATATTTTCTTAGAAAGTTTCTGCAAAATTCAAATCTTTTTTATGAAAATGAGCTCGAAATTTTGCATTTTCAGAAACGTTCAATCGCTAGTTTCTCAAAAACGGCTCCAAATTGTTTCTTCATTTTTCCCACGGGTAAAAATGCACAGTGTAAATGCACTGTGTAAGATGAAAAACGCCCATTTTGTTGGATTTTGTAATTTTATTTTTTCCAAAATTACACAAATGCATTTTTGCTTTCTCGCTACTGACTCAGAATAGAGAAATGGTAGAATAGAGGTAATGCTGTGGGAAAAAACGGCGAATGTTTGACAGAAAAAAAATATTGTCGAGCCCTGACAACGAAAAAGTGGATAAATATTGACCCAACATGTAAATTATTTCCTCTAACACGTGTAGTCAGAATCCATATTTTGTGGGTTCCTGATAAAATGATCGAAAAATCGATTGACGGCAAAACTTCTGTTCTGCCCATCTGTCTGTGAACAATGCTAGAGGCTAAATCGTATGTAGGATTTCCTCCAAAACTCATATTCCCTAATCGATCTGGCTGATGTCGCGGCCTTCGGTTTCGTTTGACGCGTTGTCAGTACGCACAATGGCAATACGGCAATTATACGGAAATTATTAGGATGTTTGTGATTGTTACCGGTCGTGTTAATCGTATGATGTAGAAAACATTCTTTTGAAAGGAAATAGATTTAAGGAAGGTAATATATTTAACGAAGAACTAAAAACTGCATTTCTCTTACTTTTCACTGATTATGGTATTCAGAAATTAACTCACATCAATGTAATCATGGCAAGTTTGTGTGAAATTTTATTATTTCTTTTCTGTACATTGTGCTGTAAATACTCCAATAGTTAAATTAATGTTTGTTTTATTCGTAAAAGTTAGAAATGGATACTCATCCTGGTTATCGAAATAAACGCAGATATGCATCATATGCGTTTCATTTGAATTTGACGTTTTTAAGTTGCAATTTAGTTTTTAGTATGGCAAAGATTACAATATATTAATATTATGTAACAATTTCCAATAATGCGAGAAAGTGTGATGTTTAGCTCTAATTTAAAAAATGTCATTAGTATTTACATTACGAGCATTTCTTTTGCATTATTATATTATGCATTTGTGAGTATAATTGTTTCAAATAATTTCTCCTAAAATTGCATATAGGACCACGTTTTACACTTCTGTAATATTTGTAAAGTGATATTTCAACTGTACCGTTAGAGGGATAAAAAATTGGGAAAATGTGAAAAAATATTTAGACGCCAATAGATTGCAGTTGTGAAACGTGTGGGAGAAAACCGAGATGGCCCAGACTAACGAAATAAGGAAACTAACGTACAAGCATTTCCGAGTACGCGCCTCTTCCACTACGCGCCCCTGTCTCTACCCAGAGGCCAGAATTGGGAAGTATTTAGGATAGGGGTAGGTTGGAGGCCGCTTCTCAGGGGTTGGACCCCAGTGAAGCAAGCAAACACGTTACACGGCATTGGAGCAAATTTCACTTGAGACTGTCCAGAACCTCCGTGGTGAAAGACGAGCGACTTCGCTTTGAGCCACGATCGAGTGCGCAATGCGGGCGGGCCTAGGTAAAAGAGGGTCTGTTATTACGCTAAACGTTTTGCGGTTGTAAGAACTATTTGTAGTATCCAAAAGAAATCAATTTCTAAAAATGGATTTATTCCAATAACAATCAGTACAGTAGACAAATTCAAGCCAGATCCAAACAATTTTCTAGAGGATGTACTGAAGAATGTCCAAGTCACAATTTCCCGGGGAGATGTCCAAAATCGCAGCCGTTGTACCGTTCACTGTTTCACGAGAGAGAAAGTCCGTATCCGTAGCCGTGTCGTCGCACTAGTTCACCATTCACTAATCACTTCTCGATGCAGGCAGGCGCTTGACTGTGCCTCTGCTCGCCGGGCGCGGCTCTTATAGCCGGCTCGGGCTGCGGGTCCGCTGGCCAGCTGTCCGATACGGATGCGCCCGTCCGCTCCGGAGCCTGGTCGAGCGTGACAATGCCGCGGTGTCTGCTACCTCCGGCCTCTCTTGAGTGGCGCCGGAACTAATTTCCGGCGGCACTTTTAAAGGCACGCAGTGGACCACCACTATTAATACTAGATGCTTTCTTTGATTCTTTGCGATAGTTGATACAATAAGATTATAAACAGCAACTTCCAGAATAACGTTTTTTCCCGCTTCGGTTGCTTATGTAACCCTGTTTCTAAACCAATGTAATCTGTTTGTAACACGGATTTCTTATGTGCTAATCATAGACTGAGTGTGAATTTGTTGAAGGAAATTTTTATCATTAATGATAGTAATACCACTTGTGTTTGGTATATACTTTTATAAATGGGGCCGGAATAAAAGTATTGCACTCGTTTCGTTACGCTACTGAGACTGCCATTCTGCGGCACCACTAGTTATTATATCTCATTAGTTTTTGTTTCATATTGCAGCCTTCAATGCTTATGGGTAATAACTTTGTATTTTGAAATGTTTGTACAGGAATTAGAAATGAAGAAAAAACCAATAGTTAATGAATGCCAGGAAGATTTTATAGTGGCGGATAGCTTTAAATTGTTAATGTCTGACTTGAAGAAGATAAAGTTTCATAATATAGTGTCCTTTTCTTCGTGCTTGAAGAAAATTCAATTGCAAAAAGTGGATGCTTCTAATCGAGTACATATTATTGACATGTCTGTTGGAGAAGCATATCCTCTTGATGTTGTACAAATTCAAGCTTTGTTGCCAGATGCAGCCCTTGAAATAATACGCAAGGTTTGTTGCTGTGCAATTCACTTTTTATGCATTTTCAACAATTTTGAATGTTTTAGTTGTGTATTTCATGTTTCAGAATTCAAGAGTGGATAAGATATATAACAGTTTTGTTGAGCAAGTTATTTATCTGCAGAGAACTTGGGATGATCTTGACTTAATAGATGCAAATTGTTGTGTTTTGGATCCAGAACATCCAACTAGAAAAGATATGGGACGAAGAATACTAATTGGTAATAATAACGATGATAACTAGTAGTAGTGGCCTTGTGTAGGTTATATTTTAAATTCTTATTTCCAATTTCAACTAGTCAACTACAAAAATGGGAGGAAAGTCATAAACGTAAGTTCCATATAGTAATATGCAAAAATCATCAGTGCTACAAAACGTATAATAGTAATTTAGTGTGGTACACACACACAAAGCACAAGCTTTAAGTTCCGCCTGGTATTTGGGCATGTGTGATACTCTAGTGCTTGTTAGTGTGTGTGAAAGTAAGGGGCGAGGAGGAGAAAGGCAAGATTGCGCGTGGTCCGAGGCCCGTTTGTTAGGGTTCTGCTTCGGTATTCGCCTGGTGAAGATAGGAAAAATCTCGGAAAACTACCCAGCCGGCCGCTAGAATTCTCCTGCTAGCAGTACATATGTCGTTTTAAAGTCTGGTAAATTTCTATGAAAGAGCGCGAATTGGTGTTAAACATCGGTATTGTTAGAAAGCACGATTCTTGTGACATTTGTGGATACTGTCGCCATTTCTCCCACCCCAATCAAGCAATTCCTCCATTATCCGCCAATTCTTCTATGCTCTTTAATTTGTTTACAGCTGATTTACCAGGAACCACAACATTTTTCACAGCTTTATATGCAGATGACACCGAGATAATCTCTGCAAGCCGTGATCTATGAGTAGCAATCAACACTTTACAGTCAGTCATCAACACTTCCTCTGACAACTAAGTGCGATGCAAAAATTTATACACTTAATAGAATAACTCACCCTCCAACTATAGAAATTGGAAATTCACTATTTCCTTGGCTCCCAAACATCAAGTCCGTAAAATACTTAGGAGAAATCCTAGATATTCGTCTCACGTGGAAACCCCACATTACCCATCCAATGAGCAAAACTTACGTTGCACTCTACAACCTATACCCTCTAATACACTGCAAATCGGCGCTTCAAACTGACATATCCCTGCATATTTATAAAACAGCATTAAGACCATCACTAACATATCCAGTTTGGGGCGGTGCACAAACAAACTTAAAAGGAATTTAAGTATTTCAAAATAAAATCCTCCAAACGTCGGTTAACGATCCCTGGTATATATTCAATACACAGCTCCACAGAGAACTGAACATCGATACCATCACCCAAAACATTTCATCATTAACAAAAAAAAATTCTTCAACCTAAAATTAGGTCCCAGTGCCAGACACTCCAACCTGGCAAAATCCAGTAATGGTCCTACTAGAATCAAATCATGACTTCCTAAAGATGAACTCAGACCTCCGTAACCATCATAAACGCGTTATACTACTTTCACTCTTCCCTTTTTCCACTCTCATCACACCACTGTCCTGAGCATAAAATCCCTACAACTGAGGTTCCCGGAGGGGATTCCCTGTCACATATAAAATTTTTAGGTAATTGTTTGATTCTTCGAACAAACGCAACGCAACACTTAATTTTGTTGGTAGCCAGATGAATAAGTGAGTGTGACGTGCTGCGTGAGTGATAGAGAAAAACGAGTTTCGTGCTGCGATTAAACATTTTCTTTTGAAGGGTTGGACTGCAGCGCAGATCAAAACTCAATTAGATGACGTGCACGTGGACTGAACACCAGCCTTAAAGACAAATGATTTCTTGATTAATGAGTTCGAACATGGTCGCAGAAGTACAAAAGATGAAGCTCGCTTCAGCCGACCAGTTGAGGTTACCATACCGAAAGCCATCGAAAAAGTTCACGATATGGTAATGGAAGATCGCAGAGTGAATGTGCGCGAGGTAGCTTATACTGAAGGAATCTTGACTGAACGAGTGCACTTCATCTTGCACGAAAAACTGGTCATAAATTGGTCAATTTGGACCAAAAACTGACTCACAAGAACATTTCTAAGTAGAATCTGGCAATGTGGAGAAATCAGAACTTACGGCACAGATTCGTGACCGTGGATGAAACCTGGATCCATCACTACACTCCTGAAACCAAATATAGATTCAAAACTGGACAAAGACTGGTGAGATTGAACCGAAGAAAACAAAGACAGTTTTGTCGGCAGGAAAGGTGACGGCCACTGGTTTTTGGTACTCTCCGTGTATAATCCTTGTATATTTGGAAAAACGCAGAACCACAATTGGGCTCTATTTCTCTGCACTATTGGGTCTTTTAAAACAGAAATTGATCGAAAAACGGCCAAGATTGGGGCACAAAAAGCTGATGTTCCATCACGACAACGCACCAGCCCACACAGCAGCAGTCACAATGGCAAAAGTACATCAGTTGGGATTCGAATTGGTTACATGAACATACATTCCAGGTTTAGCCCTGAGTAACTTCTTTCTATTCCCCAACTTAAAAATTTGGCTTGGTTGCAGAAAGTTTCATCAGATGAGACAGTGATTGCTTCTGTAACCATGTATTTCACAGAATTTGAAAAAATCTATTTCTGCAATGGGTTGAAAAAATTAGAAACATGCTGGGCGTAATGCGTAGACCTAGAAGGAGACTATGTTAAAAAATAAAGTGTCGAAAACCCTGCCACACCGTCAGGTCTCGTACCCTAGGACCTCCTGGTAGATGCATTGCTGTGAGTCACCTCGTCCGGTGAAGCAGGTTGTACTCGTGGGGCAAGTGCGCCCATGTTAGAGGTCACTAGAACTAGGTTTAAACCATAAATGTTTGATGTGTGATTGTGGCATGAGAGTGTATCATAGCAATGCCCTACCTAATCCTTTCATAATCGCTTGGCCTTTCTTTGAACTGTGTGAGATGTATGTGGACAAAGCGGTTAGGTGGCTCAGGGCATCAACGAATGTCACTGCAGTGCTTCAGACCGGGGGCTCCTACGATCAGCCGCTGTCTGGAGGAGAATTCTAGCGACCAGCTGCTCGGAAGGTAGTTTTCCGCGGTTTTTCCGATCAACACCAGGCGAATGCCAGAGCAGTGCCCTAACAAACTGTCCTCTGACCGCGCTCGATCTTCCCTTCCCCTTCCTTGTCCTATATAATCCCTTACTTAACCTTACACTTACATGCACTACACTGCCACAAATGCCCGGAGACCGGTCGGGAGCTTAGAGCTTGTCCCAGCTGGGGTGGTGCCCTGCTGGAGGGAGATACCTGGATGATAAAAAATTTCCGCTAGCCTGTGTGTCGATCGGCGCCAGATCTCACCATCCAACTGGGAAAGATTACCACCTCCTCCCTGAGAAAACACACGCACTTGACTTATGGGACGAATGACCTTAGCATCAATCAAGCAACAATGGACAATAGAAATGACTCCATGGGCAACCTTTGGTGTGCAAGTAATTATTACCTTACTGGTATGTAGCAGATACTGGTAGGTCCTATAGTCTCCGCTAGGCCATAGCCGGGAATGGGCTGGGCTAAAAAATTGGTACCCTCATCACAAATGAAAGGGGAACTAATTAGTTTGAGATAGACTCTGACATTTTGTAGAACTACTACTTCATGTAGTGTGTGTAGTATTTATCATTTTAAATAAACTCATTGGTTACCTTAGAAATCTTGGAGAAATCCATATAAATGGGTAAAAAGAAATAATCTACGATAAAATTAATACAATAAGAATGTATTTTAATCAAATTCAGATCTTACATTCTCGGGTACATGTTTCGAAGACTTTCACATCTTCTCCTCTAAGGTATATAAAGAAAATTGATAAATGATAATTATTGTAAATTCAGAGAAGGATAAAATGAATAAATAGAAATAAAATAAAACTATACACTAACCCTTGTAACATTTGAAAAATCCAATCTCTTGCATAAATGAAACCAATGTAAAATATAGCCCATTATTAAATATCCTCAACCAGCCTGTCCAACCTTTCCAAAGATGCCCAGAACACAAAATAGCTCCAGCAAGAGTGCATGGGTAACAGTTACTTGGATAAGTGTATAGTTTTATTTTATGCAACTATTAATTCACTTTATCCTTACCCTTCTCTGAATTTACATTATTTATTCTGTGTATATCCCTCTATACAGTTTCTTCTACATACTACTATCTAAAAGTCAGTGAAAATGAGATAAAAGTTCTCGATACTTGTAGGTCTGCACGGAAAAATAAGATCTGAATTTAGTGTAAATACTCATACATTTTAATTGTAGAAGATTACTTTCCATTTACCCATCCATTTCTCATATTAGTAACAATCTTTAGTATTCAATTATTGTTTTTATGTATTATTTTTTCTGTTTTTATAATTAAGATTATATTTTTCTTTTTTAGGAAAAAATGTTTCCATTTATTTAAATATGAGTTATGAAGATGTCAGTGCTGTGCCAAGTATTACGGTTCTTGGGCCTGAGCAGTCTGTTCAACAGTTCCAATCCACTCTAGCAAGAAACGAAAAGGTAAAATATTTCTGTTACTTTCTCATGTTTCTAATTCCATGGGAAGCATTGTGTCCAATATGTTATTCTAAGATTCAGTCGCAATCATTACATCTAAGGAGTACTGTACGAATGTCCGTATCTCTGCAGAAAATCATAAGCAGAATGACAATTTAAATGTGAAAAAATAAAATGCTGAATTTATTTATTGGTTATATTTTAGAAACAATTTTTGTATTAGGCGGTTCAGCTTTTAAAATCAAGATGGCCATATTTTCTATTATAAACAGAGATATCAAGTTATTCAGTCTGTTTTAAAGTAAAGTATACATAATATATATTAGGGCACTTTTCTGTTTATTAATAATATAGTATAATTAATTATTTTAAATCTATGTAGATTTTTGTTTTAAATAGCTTCAAAATAATATGATTACTACTTGGCATAACACATCTTCAATGTGGAAATGAAGACTATATTTGTGTAATATCACAATTAAAAAAAATAGAGTTGAATCTAAAAGTTGAAATTTTTCTAAAGTTTTGTATTTCAGCGATCTAGCAAGTGTGCAATTTTCATATTTTTATCTAGTTCCTCAACAGAGATATTACAGTTGAAAATTTGGAAAAAATCCAAATTTCCAATTTTAAGAGTATGTAATTTCCAAGTGGTTTGTTATTTACCATTGATATTTTACAAAAAGTAACAATACTGTTAAGTATAAAATCAAAAACAATTAAGGCTGTGATTCTATTCCTTCTTTGAGAAATTACTCTCTGAAAATCGAATTTTGTTTATTCGTGTTGCAAATAGTATTTCCCAAATACGAACATAGAAGGAATGTATATAATATTTCAATTTTTAGATCAAAGTATACTGAATCCAATGATTTGTTTCTAGAATGTTGGAACAACCCAGAGCTGAGTAATTTAGAAAAGAATGAAAGTCTACTAACGCGAAAAATGACACACAGCATAAAACAAAAATGGTCACAATTTGTAAACCAGGTGAAATAAAAAATTACAGATGTTGTTAAACAGTCAAAACATAAGGAAATTTGTATACTTATGATTCTTTTTTTGAAGATGGTTGAGCGACCTGTGCTGGATCACTTAAAATATATTGACCCCAGCATTAAATAACTTTCGCTGTACTACGGGTATGAAAAAGTTAAAAATATCCACTCTATTGAACGTTCTTAAAGTATTAATCCCTCTACAAAAAATGATTGGTTACTAATGGTCTGCTACATCAAAAATGTCGTGCTGTCGATTGTGTGCAAACTTGAGCAGCAAAATGTGACTGTTCCAAAACGGCACTGAAGCTGATGTCTTCTTTGTGTTTAATGTCACCTGTGTCATAAGCAGAGACCCTGAATATACAGTTGTAATATTTGGGAGGAGAAATTCCATATAAATGTAATCGAATATTGACATTTAGAGTCAAAATCAAAACTGATTCATCATATTTGATATGTTCACGATGTCCTGAGTATATTAATGAAACCAATACACATTTCTAGCATTGCCAAATGCTACACAGTAATCTTTCAATTTCTACACGCATTGGAATTGAGTAATATAAATATTCATTATTGCAAGTTTACATGTTTATGTTGACAATGTTTGTAGGGATTTCCTTTACTCATGCAAAAATACAATTCAGGGTTTTTCATTCAATTAGAAATGTGAAGATACTATTTTGATGTTGTTGGAACAATGTGAGAGGGCACGTGACATTACGAAGCGAATACCAATTTCAATTATGGAATGTGTGAGCAGGGGCATCGAAAAGGGGGGCAGATGTGGCAACTTGCCCTAGGCCCTGACTTAAATGGAACCCCTATATTTTTTTTATTCAAAAGAAATGAAAAAAATAATATTTGCCTTCAATTAAAATTTAACACTACAAGTTATTTGTGATGCATGGAAAAATGAATTTGGTTTATGAATTAGGGAGGGGAGAATTTTTTGTTTGATATAAAAATTTCGTGGCATCTGAGGATCTACTCCCCCAGGACCCTGGTTTTACCTGTGTGTTCATCATGTAAAATATTTCTTTTTTTTCTTTTTCAGCTATGGGATTCTGACTCTTCAACTGTAGACAATTTGAAGAAGGTGTTGGATTTATCTTCATTTCCTGCGAGAGAAAATCGTTGTGCAGACATTTCCCTGGTACACCAAGAAGAATGCTTGATATGTTTTGCACTCTGGATGGATGGGGAAATGCCAAATTTAGTGTGTGAAAATACTCGCTGTGGAAGTCCTTTTCACACCACGTGCTTATTCCAGGTTTGGCTTCAGTGTTTTAAGAAGGAATGGGTGATTTCGATTAGCACCACTTGATCATTATCCAGCAACAACCAAATATTTTCAGTTATCAGTGCCAATTATTTGATAGTTTTCTAATTCCTTTGGATTGCGAATTTATTAGATCACAGGAAAATATGAAATCAAAATACCCCATTGCACTAAAATAAATAGTTTCAGTTGTTACTGCAAAGTCTTCAGAAAAGTATTTTTCTATGCCAAAATTGATTTCAAATGACTTGTGATGTCCTTGACTGTTCAACATTTGAGTTGATTAATATTTTTATCAACACTCATAATGCGATTAAGGTAAAAAGTTCATTTTTACTTTCTCACTACTGATTACACAGTACAGAGAAAGTATTGTAATGCTGCTGGGAAAAAGGGCGAAGTTTCATCAGAAAAACTAGTACAAGAAAGTCTGTGCCACTGTATAAAACCACGAATTTCAGCCAAAGAAATTAGAAAACTAACTAGCACCCAAAAGTCTGTGCCTTTCCGTAAAACCATTGATTTTGTTTTTAGAATGTGTACTATCAAAGACGCTACATACATAATTTTCACATTTTCAGTTATTCTATTAAATAAGACTGATATACAATTTGATAATATTATTTGATATTATAATACTGATATACTACTTTTATACTATTCTATTAAATACAACTGATACATTGGGAACATATTACACTTCATCTTCCTCCATAAAATAAGCATTGGCATGTCAGTGCTGCATTGCCATTGGTTGGAAATCTTTAAAGTTCTTAAACATTACAAACAGAATTGCAAACCATTTATGTTGTGTCATGTCATGTATGGTGCGCCATGGGGGGAAAAGAGGAGATGGGGAAAGTCAGTGAAAAGCCTGCTCATGGGTATGACAGAGAAAAAAGGTTAGGAATCACTGAAGTAAGGTAATAAATTGAACTTAAAAGTTACCAATGGCTGATAATGGTTTTCAAAAATGGGAAGCTCATTTTGATGTAATCAAGGGAAGCTTGCATGAAATTACTCTCTCTTTTCTGTACCCAAATTCTGTTCTGTTACAGTTAAATTTATTCATGTTTATTTAATTTGTAGAAGTACGAAATTACTAGGTACTCACTATTGAAATAAATGCAGAAATATACCACAGGCACTTCATTTCGATTGGTTTAGACTTTTTCATGTTATAGCTGAAGTGTTAGTAGGGGTAAAAATGCAATATTATTGTGTTATTTCCAATAATGCCAGAAAGAATATATGCTAGCTCCTAGTATTTTTGTTTCTAGTGGCTTCAAACTGTCTCAGGAAATTATCAGAGCTTTAATCAAGTACATGGAGACTGTCCAAATTGTGGCATGGTAATGAATACTGATATAATACTTATATGTTTTGCATGCAAATGAAGCAAACAGTTTTAATTGTTTTAATTTTCAATTCTTAGGCAATATCATGCCCAGTACCAAAATAATTGCATTTAATGTAAGATTGCAAATTTCTTATCAATTTGAGATGTCAACTACTGAAAAAAGAAGAGAAAAGGTAGGAGGAGAGAACCTCATGAAACCATTTTACACTGGAGTGAATGAAGATCATTGAAGTATACTCCACTGTTTATCCTTACTTTCAGGTGTTGAAATTGTGTGTACGTGTGTGTTTTCCAGCCATTGTATAGTTTATTGCATTTTTTAATTCAGTGTAAGTTACTTTTTATTAAAAGATACTATACATATTACTGTTTTTATTTTTAAACCTTACTTCCCACTGTTTATACTTATCACTTATTTACTGTTGTACTTAGCAAATTCTATTAAAGGTTTTTTGACATTTCTTCAGCCATCACTGCACAATAATATCATAGGTGTCTATGACCTGCATCAGAGATCTCTATCATTTGATTAACTCTATCATTTGATTAACTTTCCCCTAGTTTGAAAATAATAGTAGAGTTGGTTGCACTGTTGACACAGTGAACCTTTGAACACTTGAACTTTAAGGCCATGCCATGGTCACTGCCAGACCATATTTGATGTCTGAAAGTACCTGCTGGTAGATACTAATGTTCTGATTAGAATTAAGAAGCCATTTGTTCCTCTCAGCTAATTGTTTTGTTTTTTGGCACTGAAAAGAAGCATTTACTTGTGTTAATTTTAATTTGTTTATGTTAGTGTTCTCTGAAATGGAACAAATCTAAATATACATGTGTATTGCCCTTAACACTCTCAGTATTCCTCTGCAACTTTCAGTTTTAATATAACTAATAACCTAGCTTTTTCTGAACTAGACATCATATTGTAAACCTGTGGACACATCATCTTACGACAGATCTTCAGAATTATTCTGATGATGTTTAAGAACTTCACATGCTATCTATCAAGATTACCACAATGATGATGAAAATTCATTGATATTTGCAAGGATTTTGATGGCATTGTGATTAAAGAAGAATGTAATAAATTTGAAGTTGCCTCCTTTTCATTTGTTTAGTTGTAAAGCAGAATATCAATGCTAATCACATAGTAAAAATTATAGATGTAGATAATGTAGGCCCTGAATATCAAGTGAATTTGGAATGGCTTGGTAAAAGAAAATTCAAAGTCAGTGAGAAAATATTTGACATTCATGAAACTCAACTTTGTAGCTATATAACTACCACAACCAGTGAATTAAGGGCTACAGTGAACAAATTGTTCTTGGTGTTAATATCTGCATCACACTGAAATATAATGTGAAATAAATGTTTGATGTTTGCAATTAAATTTTTTGTTTTAAATTTTGTTAAATTGAAGATTAATAATTATAATGGTGAGATAGGACCTTGATTTTCAGAAACCTTAATATTAACGTGTAGTGAACAGTTTTATAATGTTCCTTTAAATTCATTCAAAAAATTTGTGTTCAGTGGTATCATGTTCCTCTGAAACATTAACAGATTTTGGTTTTTCTTTAAAAATAAAATATGTGTTATAGATCATTCATGTAAAGGAAATAGTTCAATACTAAATCATTGTTAGCTTCTTTATATAAATACTAGTGTACCCTTGGGAGAATTCTCGCATGTTAATCCCTACCCATTTCACTATCCTTTCCATTAAGGCAGAAACTTGTTAATGAAATGTATAAATGTAACTTCGTACTTACAGAATATCAAACAAAAATAAAAACAATGCAATTTATGTTGGAAAAAAATTTTCAGTAAAAGTTTATTCGGTATTGCGAAAGATGTATTCAGTATTATCGAGAGATTTCTTGGAACAATTCACAACACTCCCTTAAAAATATTTGAAGTAATTATTCAATATTGTTTGACAGTTAACTTTTTTGTTTTTCGTGATAATTACAAAATTATTTTAAAAAAGTTTTTTACTCTTGAGAATGCTACGTGACTGAACATGAAAATGCTACTGACTGAGAATGCTACGTGAATGCTACTTGAAAGTTTCACCAAATCACTGCTGATAACGAAACTACTGGTACAGGTAAAACAAACCAAACAAGACATGTCTTCACTTTTCACTGTACACCCACATCCCTCCACAATTAGGTTCACAGCACTTGTAGACATTGGCAAAATGTTAAATGAATGTTTTCACTACACACATAAGAAACAATCTTGATCCGTATCTAGCAACTATAAATAGTACTTTTAGCTGTTGCTGCGAGAGCGAATCTTGAATGAATAATTATGCAAATAGACATCGTCAGTCTGCGCAAGCCACAGTGTATACAGAAAGCATAAACATTATAAGATAGAGGAATCTAAGACTTCTAAGCGTGGCCACCATCACCAAGTGTTGAAATCTAGGTGACATTGATAGAATTGATAAGTGCCGAACGAGCAAAAATTGAATAGAATATCCAAGAATATCTCATCTTACAGATTACGGCGTGAGAAATGTTTCTTTGAGAACTTTTGTCCTCTAAAGTTTACTTTTGAAGGCTCTAGAACACTTCGTTTAGGAGGTATTGGCGGTTGCGTGTGAGAGGCGCAAAAAGTATTTATACTACTGAAATAATATAGGAGACGATACATTTAGAAAATATGAAAAAATAAAATAAAAGTGATTTGTACTTACAGTCTCACTTAAATTTTGACTATATGACTAGTAAAGGATAATATAAAATTTAATGAATAAAAAATAGTTTTCCTAATTTAGGACTGTTACACCCTTTCTTATGTTCTTCTTAAACGTTCCCCCTTGCTGAGACCCTATAACTCTACGTTTTGTGTACCAGCCCCCCTATGCGCCAGTTATTTGATTTGGATTGATTGAATAGTGATTCAGGAAGCGTCATCTGCTAAGGTGTCCCGTACGTTTAGTGCATGTTTTATCGCATGAAGTGGCGGTGATCTTCCTCAGCTGAATGATGAGATCCGGTCAATCTACCCGACGGTTTGCGGGTTTTCCCCCCACCAGGTATCTCTCGCTACCCGGGCACCACCCCATCCTCGGGAAGCTCCCGATATTCATGCAGTGTAGTACATGTAAGTAAGGGAGGAGGATTGTTCGATTTGGAGAAAGGGGAGCTAGAAACGCTGAAGCTCGTATGCTCATACGACATACTCGCACAAGAGACTAGGGAAAGGAATTAGAGGTTAAATAGAGGTTGAAAACAATGCGTGTGTGAGAAGGCTCCACCAAGCCACAATGAGCCATTTCATGCCAAATGGCATAAGAGTTGACACGACGTTTTTAAAAATGTACGATATATTTTTTTCTTAAACCTGGACATCAAAAAAGAGACGCATGCTTTTTTAATTTGCCAGAAAATTCATTATTTGTGTAGTTATTCCTATATTAATTTTTGGAATTTACGTGTACCTCACAAAATATGATCAATTGTTGCTCGGAATGTTTTTAATATATAAATTCCTGTTTTGTTTCGTTCATTACTTAGAACAGTGTATTTCATTCTTCTGCAAATCATTTTTTCAAAAAATAAATATTTCTTTTAAAAACTGCAATTATTTGAAAAAAATGGAAATACCTATATGAACATGATCAGATACAATTTTGAAAAAAGGTAGTATTTCTTTTTCAATTTTCTATTAAATACAAGAAAAAAGAGGGCACTAAGTGTGGGCGCGCTACCCAAGTGCTAAAGAACAATGAAAACAACGACTTTCTGCCTCATTAAAGTTTCAAGAAATGGTAGTATTTCACAGTTGACATGGTCACAGTTTCGCATATGAGGTTATTCCACCTTAGCTTTCGCTCAGGCCACCAACGCCGCGACGTGACGTCAGACTAGGCATCCCACCCGACATGCGTGCTTTGCGTGGCCTCGACACTCGTGGCAAACTCTTCTCCCGAGTGCAGTCCCATTGAGAAAGTCGGGATTGGCAGTGTGACGTAAGGGTATCTTTGGTTTCAAGTGGCTGATAGGAACCCGTAAAGCATCTCGGCTTGTTTCTGAGAGTGCTGAGGAACAGGAAGGTGACGAACTGCTGACGAACATGAGCAACGAACCCCTCCGCCACTCGCATTCTGCTGCGCATTCCTTTTGAATTGCGTTGGGTAGTGTTAACACTTGGTAAACACTTGATTCTTCACCTGTGTCGATCTTGCTTTAGGATAGGGTATATTAGTATACTCGAAAAATGTATTTTTTAAGAAATGTCCCGAAAAAAATCGTCACACTTTAAGCGGGCCATGTCACACTCAGGCACAGTAAGTAGGTGAACGGTCAAATATAGCAAACGTGTTTTAACGTTTGCTGTATTTTCATGTAGGGAGTAAAAATGTCTTAAGTGTGTCATTCAATTGGAATGCAATTAAAGAAGGTGCTATTGAGTTGTCGAAATCCCTTTCAAAGCTTTACAGATTAGTAGATGAGCTATTGGAAGAACTTAAACAAGCTAAGAGTTCACCTCCTCAAGTGAAAATGATAAATTCCAAGTAAAAAAAATTAGAGATGAAATGCAATGTTCACTCTATTAAAATGTCAGTTACAAAGAAGTGCAACTGTTTAGGATTTACCTTACCTTGGTGGATACTAATTCTTCAATAGAGTTTTTCCTCTTACAAAATATCTTTGGGTAGTCGAGTGAACTCCTCTCCAAGTGAACTCTGTGACAGCAATACTTAATATAAAGATAGGATTTCGGGTTCATGATTCTATGATTTAATCTCCAAAACCGTTAACGTCTGATGAAGACATCACTTATCAGAGAAATATTGCAGCAATGAAAACGAAGCCCCAACGCGAAGTACCAGTATAGTGTTAATCGACAAAATATGTAATTCACTTATTACTAATATTTCAGCTTGTTCATTCTTTCTTGACTTGAACTTGCAACCTATTCATTATATCTTCATGTCTTATGGTCCTTTAGTGAATGTTCCGGTTTTCTAGTTTAAAAATCTGGAAACCGGAAATATAAATCAATTACATTTGATACGATAAATATTGACTTAAGTACAAATGTTTTCATCTGATATTTGCAGTTAGAATGATGTGATAGTGGTTTTTCTGAAGAAATTGTCTTAGCAATAACAAATTGGAGCCTCTCAATTTTTAATTAATAAATTATATTTAGAGTTCCTTAATGGTAGTGTTAGAAATGAAGCTTTTAAGATTTTAATCCACAGGACTGTTAGTATCACAAAATATCCCTTCTGCAAAGGTGATGCAGGACCTGACGCTGGGCAACGAAATGGTATCAATACCATGACAGTTTGCATTAACACACTGTGCATTTATCTGCATTCCCCGATATCTATTGAATACAATTAAAAAAATA